ATATAGTTTGCTGTATAAAATTATTTGAAACTGCTAGGCCGTTTTTAAACTTTTAGTTTTCCATATATTTTTCATGGCTGATTTTTTTCGTCTCTATGAAATTTCATCCGTTTACTAAAAAGCAAAAATTAATACGTTCACGGCTATATCTTGGTCGCCTTAACACACTGGCACCGGCTGTGCATGTTCATCTGCACTGTCCCATTTTTTTTATTTATCATTTCTTCTCTTTTTATTAATACACTGAAGCCTCTAAAACTGTTTAGTCAACCACGGGGCCTACATGACTTTACCTATTTGCTTTGGTTAAAATCCACAATACTTTTATCAATGGTTTGGGCGTTCTGATGATAATGATTATAATAATAATAATGATAATGATGATAGTAGCTCTAATAATATGGAGAATAGAATTAAGAATAATAACAATAATAATAATTGTAGTAAAGTAGATAATTTCCAAAACAAAAATAATGATAAAAATCAAAATGAAATTGATGTTGATGATAATGATGATAGCAATGATAATGATAATAAAAATGATAGGAATGCTGCTAATAATATCTAAATCTACAAAACGCCCTGTGTCTTGCAGGAAAGTTCAACTGCTACTTCGCACGACGGAAGTAGACGAAGGCCTCCTCCTGCCGGACGTGTCTGCCTTCACGCACTACAAAATGGGTTAGCTAGTTTAAACTGCGTGTTGAATTTATCGTTTTCATATCCGGTAGTTTGGGATAGTCTTGTTAGTTCTTGTTATTGTTTTTCCTATCATTATTATCATTAAAATTTTTATTATTATGTTATCTCTTTATTACATTTGTAATCACTATCAACGTCGGAATTACCCTTAGTCTATCATCATCATTCATATCTCATCCTTATCATTTGCAGTAGCATTACCATAATATAACTAATATAATATATATATAATATATATATATATTAATATATATATATATATATATATAGTATATATATATATATAATATATATATATATATATATATACATATGTATGTATGTACATATATTACCATCATCATCGTCAACAATTCTACAAACATAATACCATTATCCTTATCATCATTCACAATGTTTTTACTATGATTATTTCCATTCCCGGTATTAAAATTAATGCAGTCACTACTGCTGATCATTGGCATACTCATATTAACACTATCACCCTGTAGGTGGTCTGGCAGCAGATACAAGGAAGAAGCAGAAGCACAATATCCAACACCAATTGGTTCGAAGAAAATAATAACAAATAAATAAATAAACATGCTACAAAGTAAATTATTGCGTAAATCAGTAAATGATTTGGTGTATACAGTAGGTTTATGTATACAATGAGGAATGCCAACCTGATTTACTTAAAGACAAGCAGAATAGGAATATCAAAGTATATGAAAAAATAGTAGTTGTATAAGTCACTGGAAATACGATTTGTCGACGTTATACACTGGATGGCGATGAAACGTTAACAATAAATAAGACGTTTTTTAAATTAAAATTTTGAAAGCAAGAAATAAGACAGATGAAATTTCTCATGCTCATTTTATCATTTATATCATCTACTTTTGAATATGAATACGGTGTTACCAACAACAGCAACATTTACTGCAGCAGGAAACCCAGTTTCGGATGTAGCAGGAAACCCAACTTCACCTACAACAGGACACTCACCAACTTTGGCTGCAACAGGACACTCACCAGGGAATCCAACTTCGGCTGCAACAGCAACTTCAGCTACAACAGGACACTCACCAGGGAATCCAACTTCGGCTGCAACAGCAACTTCAGCTACAGCAGGAAGCTCAGAGTCGACCCAAACACCATCACCAACCACCTCAGCTGCAGGTTTGCACATTTACCGCAGGATACATAAAACGCCCTTTTAGACTGGGGCGCCATTTCACAGATCCTGCTGGCGAGCCTGAGCAATTTGCAGAGAAGTTTTGAAGATATATGGGATGGCCATATACTAGTTGAATATTTTTCTATTAATTTGCAAACACGCTATAAGATCAGTGAAAATAATCTCAACGATGACTAATGTCTTTCATATTTTGTTGTTAGTCACAAGATTGTTTGTCACCGACCTATCCACAAACGGAGATTTCGACTCTCAAAATCGAACATGTCACCTTGAAAACGGGGAGCCAGCCGTGCTGACGACGCAGGAAATGGTGGATCAGCTGCTGCAGCTGTTCAGTGATCGTAAGGCCTCCGCAAATGCATAAAGATCAGAAGTATAAATATATATGTATATATATATATATTAATATATGTATATATATATATTATATATATATATAATATATATAATATACATATATATATATATATATTATATATATATTATATAATATATATATATATATATTATATATATATATATATATATATATATATATGCATGTTTGTGTGTGTGTGTGTGTAAAAGGGAAAAAAAATAAATAAAAAAAAAATTATATATATATATATAATATATATA